AGCTTGCTTGGGACCGTACTGGAAGAATATCGGCCCTCTGTCTTTTTTGTACGGACCGAGCGCAGCTCGGTCCGTACTGTCAAGACCTCGGGCTGATATTCTCCCAGTACGGCCTTCATGCTTGGTTAATAAGATATATGTATTCATTTCTTTATTTTAGAGCTTGAGGAGAGTTCGTGTAGGGATAGGAAGACCCAGCAAGAGAAATAATGTGACAGAATATGTCTTGAGCAATTTTGATCCATCAGAGATACCAGTCTTGGAAAGGACAATAGAACAGTGCTGTGAGGTCCTCATGAAGGAGCTTCAGTTATTAAGATCATAGAAGAGTGTTCTACTTTTATTAATGGAGTGAGGAGGCAGACTGCTTCTACTGTAATTATCTAGTTGCATCCAATGCTTTATTTATTTTTTAACAGCTCACCTGTGGGAATGAAAATACATAGAATAAAAGTGCTCCTATGTAACACTGCCAAGTTTCCATCAGAACTTTCAAAAAAATCAATTCCAGAAAAGGTTTACATTATTTGCCATATTTCTCTAATTTTCATTCACAAGGGAAAACTCTGGTGTCAGCTCAAAAAAAAAATGTTTCATTAGCAGTGTTGATGATGTTGTAACTGAGTCCCAGATGACTAAATTTACCTCACTTGTTTAAAGTTTAAAAAGAATTAAATGCTACATGTGATACTGATATCATTAATATTGCATTGAAGTTAAGAGCAACAAGACATGTTAATTTTACTTTAAGGCTGAATATCTAATTACTCTCTATGTGACAGATTGCTTGGTTTTATTTGTTGTTTAGTTAAATTTTTTGGGGAGCTCTTCTTCACAATTACCTTTAATTTAAAGTAACATTTGCATGCAGTTGTGCAATAAACTCAACACTGAGTACCTTTTTTAAATGTACAAGTTTATTCTTCCTTTGGGACTTCAGTAAGTCAACATTCTCGTTTACCGGAACCCCCGAGCTTAACAGGTTGTTGTAAGACTGGCATGTAGTGTGATGAGAATAATTTCATGGCCATAATATAGTTACATGGAAGTGTCATGCTAAATACGATTCTGTCTGGCATCAACGTGTGGTCAGGGTTACTCGACCTTTACATGACATAAACTCAGCTTGACCCATTGGCTCCCTAAGAGTGACTAGCATCTAATTTCTTCTTACAATATCACCCTTGAATCAAACATTTTAAGTTGTGAGAGTAGAGGAAATGATCATTAACTAAATGAGATCTTGATTGCTAAACAAATTCTCCAGATCAGTGCCTTAGGAAACGCCCTAGAACAGTATGGAGAATATGCATACTGATATTGGGGTGTAAAGGGGTAAGGAGTTATTCACCTTCCCTGAGTCCAAACCATAGGACAAATATTTTGTTACAATTGTTCCACTGGGTTTTATACCATCTTGGGGGAAAACATTTGGGCTAGGTTTCTTTTCCTCTTCTTTTTCTCGCTATTTCTCTTTTTGGGAATAAAGGCCAGTGCTCTTAGAGCTTACTCATAGATGCTTGGGGTTAAGAGTTTGAAGAATATTACTGATTTTAGAAGTAAATGGCTCTTGAAAGACTAGCATGAATTAGCAACATGGACAGCAAAATTGCTTTCTGAAAAATTAGATAACAACAACAGATAACAAAGCAACAAATGAATGGGTTTTGTGGGAGTTCAAGCGAAGCTTATAAAACACTTGAGGAAATTCAAACATTGCGTCTGACAGTTGCCATGTAATCACATGTTACAAAGGGGTTCTCGCAGTACTAGTTTGCAATCGATTAACCCCATCCAAGATTGAAAGAAACCTTTCTGAACCAGCAACCTAAGTGAGGTGAGAGCTGTTTATTGTTCTTCGATTCAGTGACCAAAATGTGGTCTACACTGTACGTGTCGAATTTTTCCAT